AATATATATATATATATATATATATATANTTTTTTTTTTTTATTAATAATAAATTTATTATAACAAATATAGAATAAAATATATAAAGTATATAATCATTAAATATTTTTAAACATGTAAACAAATTTTAAAGTTTCAATTCAAATTTAAAGGAAAATTTTTAAACTGTTTAAAAAGATAGTATTTTAACTTATTTTATATAATATTTTAATATTTCATATAGTTTCATATAGTTCATCAATAAAGTTTGGTTTTCTAATGTTCAAGTTTTGTTTATTAAAATCTTTTATTTTTGAAAATATTTAATTTATTACAATTTATTCCATTTTTCATATATAAATATATATATTTATATAGAGTATATATTACATATACATAATATATATAAAGTAAATATAATGTATATAAAATATTTTAATTAAAATAAGAAATATATGTATATATATTTTTCTCAAATGTATTTATTATCGAAGTAAATATTCAAACCATGCTGTTCCACTTAGATCGTTTATTTCGTTATTATTGTTATTTACATATTTAATAAAATTATCAAATTCATATAAATCTTCAAAAATAATTGATTTGAAAACTGATGTTTCATTTGGCCAAATTCCATCTCCACTAAAATAATATTTTTTTTCTAATTCATATAAGCATAATGATAAGTAATGAATAGAAGTAAAATTGTATTCCTCTTGTGAATATTTTTTATACAACGATTTCAATGTGCAATCAATCTTCAATCTAAAAAAATAATATTGAATGTTATATAAATGTTGTAATATATGAATTTTTATGTTTATTTTGATATCTAAAATTAATTTTCCGAAAATGTCCCATGAATATATTAATACTCTGCATAATATAGTATACTATATTTAAATAAATATATTTTATTATTTTTGAGCAATATAAACATCTATTTACCTTGGATACAATATAATATGAATATTTTGACATATATCTTCTATTAAATAACGTTCCTTTAAATATTGTATTGACTTAATAATGCTTAACAAAGGAACATATTTCCAATAAGGATGTTTTCGAATTGAAGGTAATAGATTAACATCTTTTCCAAATTCTTTATGCAAAATGTATAATATATTTTTTTTTCTAGTTTTTGCATGATAATCTCCTTCTATGAATCTAAAATACAAATTATTATCAAAAGATTTGAATATATTATTCTGCAATTATTAATGAATTTTATTTTCTATTTGATCAAAAATATATACGTGTATATGTGTATACCTGAAAAAGAATTCCTTTGATGATAAATATATTTGAGCATTTGCACTGTCTATGCAATTTAAATATTTCATATAATATAAACGTTTCTTAACTGATTTATAATAATAAATTAATTGTAATAATCGTGGATGTTTTAACCATATAGCTAATTCTTCATTATTTTCAAAATCTCTATATCTTTCTAGAAATTCTTTTTTCTTCACTGATAAACATTTTATATTTATATGAGATAACTCGTATGGTATATCTAATGTTCTATAAAGCTGTAATAATTCTTTTATTTCATTTATATCATACAAGAGAATACGAGGACATATATTTATTAAATCAAATAAATTCTTTTCATTTATTTTAATATATTTAAACTCAGTCAACATTCTCTCAACATTATCTATATTAATATTCAAGAGATACAAGTTTTTTATTATCTGCAAGATATATATTATATCATACCATATTTTTAAAATTTTTTTTTTAAATTTTTTATAAATATTCATACTTACAAATTTTTCATCAAATTTAAATATATGTTTCAATATATATATTAATTTGGACATTTCTGTAAAACTTCGATATTTCATCCTATTATTTTTAAAAAATGATTGATTATTTAGTTTTAAATAATATGTTTTATAATATGACATACACATTTGATAATAATTGCCTATTTTCATATGATCTTCAAGTTTCATTAAATTTTTAGTAATATGATCAATTTTTATATTTGTTTCTATATTAAAAAATATAATTTTCATAATATTTTGTGTAGCAGGTATATTATGTATTTTTTTAAATGTTTTTACTTTTTTTCTCATTAATGCTGGAAATCTAAAATATAAAATAACTATAATTAATAATAAAATATTATAAATATTTATTATTAATATTAAAAAATTATAAATTACAATTTATAATTATAAAAAAATTATTTGAATAAAATTTGAATTTATTTTAAATATAACATATTTAAAACATAACATACCGGTAAATATGAAACAGTTCCACAGAATTTATACCTAATTCCTTAAGTATAAAAATTCTGTTTTTCATAACTATAGGCTCAAGTGCCAAGCATTGTATCAAATAATCAATTTTTTCTATCTTTACATTCGTGTTCTAACAAAAAAAAAAAGGAATAAGAAATTATGACTGATATAATTATATAATATCAATATAATAATATAATAATAATATTATTTAAATGTATACATACCTTTATAATATTACAATTTTGAATAACTCTTTGTATTGGTATTTTATTAATTAAATTATTTTTTTCAATTTTATCATTTTTTTTAATGATATTATAATCAAGTTTTAAATGTGTTGTTAATATGTCATAAATTTTTCTTGTGTTGAAAAAGATGAAACTAAATTCTTAAAATGTATCATGACAAATTTTCCTATAAATTTCTGTTTAAACATTGTATCTTATATTTATATCGATTATAGATAAAAGAAAATATATTTAAAATAAAGAACAACTTATATGTTTGAAGTAAGGTTATCATACTAAACAATAAAACACTTTATTTTTATTTGATATAAATATGAAATAAAATTAGAGTTCATTTATTTATTACATTTTAGATATTATTATTTTATGCATTAAAAAGAAAAAGAATTATATTTTGTGGCAAAATTCTTTTTTTATATTTAAAACAAAAAAAAAGATCATTAAAATACATTCATAAACAAAATATATCGAGATGAGATATTTTATAAGATTTTTCAGATCCATATGTTCAACACAAATATTATAAATAGAATATATGCATTGTAATTAATTGTATATATTAATTCTTTTTAGCGGGAAAATTTAATTTCATTGGACAGATTAAAATAATTTAACTTTAAATTTACAATAATTTATTTATAATATATATTTATAATTTATTCAAATAATGCTGATGTTTTTATTTATTTATCAAAGTAATCAAAATATACAATTAAATTATTAATTGTTTTATAAAATTTGCTTTTAAAATATTTCAAAATTAATAGAAAGAATAATTTAATATATATTTAAAATAATAAAATTGTAAAATAAAATTTTTCATAGGAAATTGTAGTATAATAATAATTATCGTTTTTTTAAATTTATTTGAAATGAAATCTTTCTTCTTTACTACTTCCGTTCAGTACATAGGAAACGTAGTTTCTACCATTTTGACTTTCTTTCCCAAGAGGGACTTCTAGGCTCCATCATGAGGTATGAACTATTCAAAAATTTTTAATTACATAAATACATAAGTTCAAATCTAATTTGTATTTATAATATTACTAAGAAAATATGTACTGACTTATTGTTGAATTTAATACATCATATTTTACATATTTAATATTTGATAATTTATTGATAATTGACCACATGGTTTTATGATTTTAAAAACATAATTTGATTTGAATTGAATCATAATTAAATATTATTTGAATTATTATTATTTTTTTTTTTGCACAAATTTGATTAAAATAATATTTTAAGGTGATACTAAGTAGTATCAATATGTTATTTATCATAACATAACCTCAATATATGTTTCAGTTCTTTAAAACTACAAAAGAGGCTTGCAGCCTCTGTTATGCGATGTGGTAAAAAAAAGGTTTGGTTGGATCCAAATGAAATCAACGAAATTGCAAATACAAACTCACGTATGATAATTTAAAAATTAATTTTAGCATTTGTTTTATATATGTTTTATATTATTAAAACATTAGTTTTATTATCTTTTAAGGGCAAAGTATTAGAAAGTTAATTAAAGATGGTCTTATTATTAAGAAACCTGTTGCTGTCCACTCTAGAGCTCGAGTTCGTAAAAATACTGAAGCTAGACGTAAAGGACGTCATTGTGGTTTTGGTAAAAGAAAAGGTACAGCAAATGCTCGTACACCGCAAAAGGTAAAAATTTATAATTATCGCTTTAATAATTTGACATATTCAAATTATTTTTTTTTTATGTACACAAATTATAATGTATTTAATATGAGATATATGTTTTTATAGGATTTATGGATTCAAAGAATGCGAGTTCTCCGTAGACTGTTAAAAAAATATCGTGAAACGAAAAAGATTGACAGACATTTATATCATTCCCTATATATGAAAGCTAAGGGTAATGTATTTAAGAATAAAAGAGTTCTAATGGAATTCATTCATAAAAAGAAAGCTGAAAAAGCGAGAGCCGAGATGCTTTCAGATCAAGCTGAGGCGCGTCGTACTAAAGTTAGAGAAGCGCGTAAGCGTAGAGCAGAGCGAATTGCTACGAAAAAACAAGAATTGTTACAATCTTATCAACGAGAAGATGAAGCTGCAGCAGCGCAAAAAAAATGATCTAACAATTTTACAAATTATTATATAAATAAAATCTAAAAAAAAAATATTAATATTTTTATTCAATCGCCATTTGTCTTTTTTAATTTTCATTTAAATATAACATATAAAATGTGTATTAATATTTTTCTATATATAATATTTTTTAATTGTATATATATTTAATTAAACATATCAATTATATATATATATTTTTTATATAATTATATATAAATATATATATGTAATAAATCATAATATAATAATATAATTGTAAAGTTAATTTAAGTTATTTAATGTATGATTAGTTTCTCTGCAAATAGAATAAACTAAAAATTTATTTTTAAAATTAGTATGAAATTATATCCACAGATGGAAGCACTATTACGTATTAAAGTAAAATATGACGAAACTATCAAATATATAGTTAGAAATTGTCTAAAAGCATTTTTTTTTCCCAATACGCACATTCTTAATAAATATACAGAACAAAAGGTATTTGTTTTAAATACGAGATAGTTCAATGGAAAATTATTTCGTTATAATGTTATTGAAAATAAAGCAATAGGTTAGTGAAATGAATTTAATATAATAGAATTAATAAAATAATAGAATTTTGAAATAAAAATATTGTATGTATTAATATATAATTTATCAAATTTATTATATATTATATTGTATGTCTATAAAACAGTTTATGTTTTGAGAATAAGATTATGAAATGATAAATATTATTTCGTAATATGCTTTGTGAAATTTGAATAGCGTAAATCAATATGTCTGTCTAAAAAGTAAGTTTAATTCTTGACGTATAAATAAAATGAAATTTTATTCATATAAATAATATGAATAAAAAATATAATTAATTCACTTAAATTTATAATTACATAAATAATATTATTCAATTTAATATTTATAAATTAAATTTTGTATATGCCAGATATCAATATTTATTATTAGCTTTGAAACATGAAGAGTATTTGATATGTTTTTATATTAAGTTATTTAAGGAATTATATTTTAATTATAATTTTTTTTATTATATAGGTAATAATCATTTTTGTGAATGAAATAAATATTTTCAATAAAATTAATATTAAAATTAAAATTATATATTAATGAATAGTTTATGAACAAATATATGCATTTATGTATATAAATTTTAAAATCAATTTTTAATATCTTAAAATTGGTTTTTTCAGCTGAATGTTTCTTATGATTAAGAAAAGATACAGTGATCATGGAACAAGAGGAACATATCTGTAAATATATGTAATTAGTGATTATTTCTTTCATGTACGATTATTTTCTTATATAATTAATATAAAATAATAGACAATAAAAAATATTAGAATTAAAAATATTATTAAATATACAATATTATGTAGAATTTATATAATTTGTTTACAGAAATTTTTGAACTAAAAAAACGAATAATTACATCAAGAAGGATGACTAATAAAAAGGGAAATATTTCTGAAAAATCACGGGAAGAAATAAAAGCAGAACGTGAAGCAAAGAAAGCAGCTAAAGCACATGCTAAAGCAAAAGCCAAATCCAGTAAAACATTAGATAAAGATATCTCAAATGATAAATCTGCTTCTCTGAATAATATTAAAAATAAAACTAGCACTGAGACATCAAAAACTATAACCAATGAAAATATTGAATCTGCTAATGAAATATTAGTAGTCACTGAAACTACAAATATATGTGAAAAAAGTTCAATTTCAGAAACAAGTAATGATGGAAAGAGCAAAGCAGAATTACGTGCTGAAAGGAGAGCAAAGCAAGAAGCACAAAGAGCAGCCAAGCAACAAATTTTATTAGAAAAAAATAAAGTTAAGAATAAAGAACAGACTAATAATGAACCCACAATAACAGAAATAAAATTTAAAAAAGTAGTAATGCCTATAAAAACAATTCAAAAATGCAATAAACATGAAATAAATCTTTTCAAACACCTATATCATGAAAGAGAACAGGCTATTGTAAATGTTCCTTTTGTCAATTCAAATATACATCCAGCAATAATTAGATTAGGTACACAATATGCAAACAAAATAATCGTTGGTAGCAATGCAAGATGTGTTGCACTTTTAGCTGCTGTTAAACAACTTATTCATGATTTTGAAAGACCACCACAAGCTGACTTTATTAGAAGTCTTGAAGCAAATTTACAAGAATCTATAGCTTACTTACATTATTGTAGGCCATTAGCTGTGTCAATGCAAAATGCAATGAGACATTTGAAATGGCAAATGACACAATTTCCTTCTTCATTGTCTGATGTAAATGTAAGTCATTTTTTTTAAACTTTAGATATATGATTTTTAAAATAATTTATTTTTAAATAATATAAATAAATATAATTTTAAAATAAAATTAAAATGAAAAAAAACTATATATTTTAGGCAAAAAACAAATTAAGTACTGCAATAGATACTTATATTCGAGAACAAATAGAACTAGCTGACAAGGCAATATCAATAACTATTCAAACTAAAATATCTAATGGAGATATTATTTTAACTTATGCCTAGTAAGTATTTTATTATTTCAAAATTATTTTAAAATTATTTTTACATTTTTTACATATTTTCTATATTTATAAAATTTAATATTGATTGTTTTTAGTTCATCTTTAATACATAAAATATTGTTAGATGCACATACTGCAGGTAAACAATTTCGTGTTATTGTTGTGGATGGAAGACCATGGCTAGAAGGAAAGGAGCAACTTAGACGTTTGTCAAGACATGGGATTGAATGTTCTTATATTTTAATTAATGCTTTGAGTTATGTAATGCCTGAAGTAAGTAACTGATAATTTTATCTTTATTTTATTTAAATTTTTATTAAAAAATTATTATTGATAATAATAATTATTAAGGTAAGCAAAGTATTCCTTGGTGCCCATGCAATTTTAGCAAATGGTGCAGTAATGTCAAGAGTTGGAACTGCTCAAGTTGCCTTGATGGCAAGAGCTTTTAATATTCCAGTCTTAGTAGCTTGTGAGACTCACAAATCTTGCGAACGTGTACAAACAGATTCTATTGTCTATAATGAATTAGGTAAGTAAAACTATATTTGTACTTCTATTTATTGATTTATTATTTAATTCTATAATAATATTATTTATTTATTTTTTTCTTCCCTTATGTTTTATTTATAGGAAATGCAGATGAACTTGCACAAGATTACAAAAACGGTGTGGAAAAATCATTATTAACAAACTGGAAAACAAAAAAATCACTAAATCTTTTAAATATCATGTACGATGTTACTCCAGCCGATTTAGTAACGGCAGTTGTTACAGAATTAGCGATTTTACCATGCACCAGTGTTCCTGTAATTTTACGTATTAAACCATCAGAGATCTAAATTTCATTAAAAATTATTTTTGTTGTTTTAATATTTGATATAGCATTCAAAAAACAGTATAAAACATCAATCATTGTGTTCTTTATTTCCATATGCAAATTAATTTTAAATAAAATTTTCAAATTATAATACATCAAAAAAAAGAATGTATTCATCGTAACTTCTTTTTTTTTACATGTCTTTAAAAATATATTTTATGTACAATTGTATATTATGTTGTGTACTTTAAAATAAATTTTTAAAATATGAATTAAAAATATATTTTCTTTATATTTTTATACATTATTTGTAAATAAGATTATTTTTTAATTAAAGTTTTAAACTTGAAGAAAAGAATTGATATTGGAAGAATTGGAACATGTGAAATTTTTTTAAATAATTAAATCTTAAAATTGAAAAAATTAAATAAGAAATAATATAATAATAACTATAATTATATAATAAGAATAATATATATGAATATAATATATCTCATGAAGATACAGAATATGAATATAATATATTTCATGGAATTATAAAATAAAATGATGTAATACTTTTGTAATACTATTGTTATGTAATATTTTTTTTTGAGTCATATATGTTATTAATTCAATATAGAAAATAATTGAAGTATTAATAATGGTTGGAATTAAAATTTAACTTAAAATGATATAAATTATAAATCAAAACATTTTATAACAAAGTACAGAAATCTATATTTCTAGATTTGATCATTTTCTAAAACTATATAGTTGATTTCAATTGATTGATACTGATTCATGATTCAATTTCTTGAAGAACAGTGTTCTTAATTTTTTCAGTTTTATATTTTTAATATATAAATAAATTTTTATTTTTAAAACTATTAACTATTATATAATTAGCTATTAAGCAATTGATTATTAAAAACTTGATTTTTTCTCTTACTCATAAAGTTTAAATAATCATTTTTTAATGCAAAAAATTACAAGGAAAATATCATTTGATATTTTATAAATAAAGTATTATTAAAAATCTGAAAAAATATTATTATATGTATATCTATTTAAAATTTATTTTATAATTTATTAAGTATTAATTTAAAAATTTATTTAAAAATCAAATCCAATTATTCTTAATTGACAAATTTAATAAATTTTAATATAAATCGTAATCTAAGATTGACAAATTGATTTAATTTTTTTAATGTTTTCTTCATTTTTTCTTTCTTTCATTTTTTTATTTTTTTCTCTCATTTGTTTTTTTGTATTCATTTTTTTAATTTTTACTTTTTGTAGTAAAAAAGTATTTTTTTGATTGAATAAAAAATTTCAATTTTATATTATTTTATATTATATTAGCTTTGCATAAAATAGAAAATGTTTTTGATACAGATATTGCTAATAGGTTATATAATTTTAAATTTTAATTTTAATATTAAGATCTAAATTAAAATATTTTATAATCATCGTTGGATAACATTAAACAATAATTAACAACATGCAATTTAGTTTTTTAATTTTTTATTATATATAATATATGGGAGATTTTTTATAATAATATATATATAATATAAAATTAATAAATTACGAACAAATAAAAGATTTGTTAAAGATTAGAAAGTTAATAAAAATCTATTCTATTTTATATAATTTTTTTATTTTATTTGGTTTTTAACTTTTTTTTTTAGTTTAATTAATATTTGTTTTAAATTCTTTCGTTATGTTTCAATATTTTTTAATTTAAGTACATTTTATTTTGATTATTTGACGTTTTATATTATACTCTTTAAATTTGATTAATTTTTATTTTAAATTTCAGACTTATATTTCAGTCTTTATAATTTGAATAATTTTTACATTAAATTAATTATAATAATTTATTCTTATTTTTAATTAAGATATATTCTTGTAAAACTTATATACATATAAAAATTTATAGTTGAACTATATAGTTATATAGTTATTCATTTCAATTTTTAGTTGAAGTAAATACAGAACTATACCGTTTCAGCCAATCAGAAAATCATTAGTTTAACAGTGAAACGAATCAGAGTGTGTTATGATACTATTAAAAATCAGTGATAAATTGCATTTTACTGAAATATGCAGAGATACATTATATAAATGCGTATGAATATTCTTGCAAAAATACTTTTATTTCTTTTATTTATCTATTTGACTATTAGTTATCGCTAGTTCATATTATGAATTTCTAAAATAGGATTTGAGTTAGGTTATTTTATTTTATTCTTATATATTTTATATTGTAAAAATTTGATTTTTTATGCAGACAAATAATTAAAATTTAGACGAGAAAAAAATTTTTAATGTGTTTGCTATAATTACAAAAAAATTATATTATTAACAAAACATGAAATAACACATAATGAAATATGAAATATGAAATAAAGTTTCATAAGAAATACTTCGTTAATAATACGAAATATACCAACTATGAAGTATTACGAAATGACGGATAGATGGCGTTATATAATCGCATCATGTTTTCAAATGTGAATTCCTTCCCCGCCAACTTCCTTTGCATTACTCGTACTGTTCGTTGATAAGAAATTCTGTGAAAAAAATACAATTGTGATTGGTTTATCTCGACTTTATATATTCATAAAAATATCATGCATATTGACTAATAGTATCAAATCTATAAATTTATAATAATAAAATCATATAATATCATGTATTTTCGAAAAAAAAACATTCTTGTCATTTCTGAGTTGACTTCCATCAACCGTCAATAATCTCGATGACGTCATCAGTAGATTTAAGCATTTGCAGTGATTTTCTTGGTAGTACATCAGGAGAAAATGGTGAATGTATTTAAGTGAGTAGGGATTTGTATATATTATTTAGTGAATTTCGCTTTATGTTTAGTCGTAACTTGATATTGAACGTGAACGAACGTATAAGTGAACGTATTTAATTTTACATTTAAATAGCAAAAATTATTGAACTTATAATATTTAATTTTGATTTGACGTTTCGTTTGTATAGACAACGTGCAATAACTTGTTTATTATACATAACAAAAAATGACAGTGAATAAAGATCTAGAATATGAACGAAGCAAATGTACATTCCAACCTATTGAATTAACGTATTTCTTCGATGGCGGTCCAGAGAAAACAATAGAACGTCGTGAACGAGGTACAATTTAAATTTTTTTCATATGTTTGAAGTTTAAAATCTATATAAATAGTTTGGGAATAGAATTAAAAAATATTTGAAAGTATAATCATCAAATGTTTATAATGTTTCTGTTTATATTTAATTGATTATTTGAATTTATATTTAATTGATTAATAAATAATTGAAAAATGTAATTATATAATTTTCTTTTATTAATTGAATATATTATAAATTAAATGCGAAAATAAATATTCACTTTTCTTTAATAAAATATTCAAATCATATATAGTTTACATAAAACTATATATATATATATATGGCTCATATATATATGAAATTATAAATAAATGAAAATTTATACATATATAGTAAAATCTCGTTATTCCAATTTTGTATTATTCCAATTGATGGTTGATTTAATATCACACAATTTTTTCCGAATTCTAAAAAAACTAAATTTTCTTTGATATGATATGCGGTTTTTACTATCGAAAACACGATTTCATAGCAAAAAATTAAATATTTATAAAAATCTACGATAATACAATCTTCGATAATACAAAAATAGATTTTTTCTTTTTTTTATATGTATATATACATATATGTTTTATAAGTTAAAATAAAAGTAACTAAAATAAAATTTCTTTTTATAATTGAATATTTTTTTATTGTTATTTATATTATGTGTTAAAATGATTTAATATTATTTCATTTAATGTTTTATCTTCTACAAATATATCTTGAGTGATTTTGAGATTATATATATTGTATACTATTGTATATATTTTTCATTACATATATTTTTATTTGATATTTGTTTTTTAATTTTAAAATATTTTAGTTCAATTTTAAAATTAATATACAATCGGTATTAGATTTCATTTATTAATATTAAGTACATAATTGAATTTTTGAATATGTTAATTGATTTTGCAGAAATATAAAATTGTGCAATTAATAATATAAATGTTATAAAGTTACGTGAATGAAACAATAACATAAATAAAATTATATATTATAAATTTGTATCTATCTTTATCTAAATCTTTCCATCGATAATACATTGTTAATAATTTACTCTTACCGTCTATGTCTATCGCTTTCTCGCAACTATTCTACTTTCTACACTTTCTAGTAGATTTTTATTCTATTATTCATGTAAGCTATATTTTTATTTTCATATATTTTCTTTTTATTAATTTTTTAATAATTTTTTTAATAATAATATATTTAAATTGAAATCATAAAGTTTGAATATCTAAGCAAAAGATAATTTAATGACTTGCAAAAAATATATGAATATTATATTATTAGAATGACTAAGAAAATCATTACGTTCAGAGTTTTTATATTTGATTTTTTATGCTGAATTTTTTTGAATGACACACTTTGTGTGTAAACAGCATAAAATATTATTACATAATATTTAATTTTATTACATAATATTACATTTATAATAATAAAAAGCATAATTTTTATAATAAAACAAATATTTGTGAATGCAAAATTTATATAATTATAACAAACTATATCTTTTTTTTTGGTTGAAGATAAAAAAGATATGAAAACAAAAAAACATAAAGTAAACTATAAAATATCTTTGATTTGAATTGATTCACCAATAAAATTGTTTATATAAAAAATTTTAAAAATTCAATAAATAGTTAGCATTCAATTTTATTTAATACAAGATAATTTAAACTTTAATAAAAAATTTAAACTTTAATTTAACTTAATATAAATAAGCAAGAAATTAATAAAAGTAAAAATACAATATTTCTTCTATTATTCGTTTTTCAACAAAATTAAAAAATCAAATCTATAGATTTAAATTTTTTGTAAAGTAAATTATATACAAAATTTCCGAAAATGCGAAAACTGGAAATTTCTGAAACAATATTTTTATGTAAAAATTTTTTTAAATATCTTAATATTGATATTTTAAGTTAGTAACAG